AATGACGCGCCTTATCAACACATTGTGTTGGAGTTCACTGCTTGTTTTTTAATCAATTTAATCTTTTTACCTTACGTCTACGAATCAATATATTTCTCTCGTTTTTTTAGGTGAGAACTATCAACTTCCCGAAGAGTGTTCTTCGTCCGTTTTCTTTGTTCACCAGCATGGTCATCGACGAGTCGACTGACAAATGTGACAACGCCTTCCTCTACCTCGGCGACCCCCTGTTCCCAGGTCTCCTCGTCTACGATGCCAAGAAAGATGCCGCTTGGAGGTTGAGCCACCCCAACATGTTCGCTGAGCCAGACCATGCCAGATTTGAGGTAAGTTTGGGTTGTTATGTTGTAACTTTTTTTGAATAAAGATAAAAATGAGAAGGGAATAGGGGAGGAGAAGAAAAAGAAAGAGGAGGGGAAAATGGGAGAAGAAGAAGTGAGAGTAGGGAAAGAAAGGAAAATTAAGCAATAGGGGCCGAGGAATGAAAAGGAGAAGGAGAGAAGGAAGTGGGAGAAAAAGAGGAAGAAGTCGGAGTGATATAGGAAAGAGTAAGAGGAGGAGAGGAAGTGGGAGAGAAAGAGAAAAAAGTAGAAAAAAAGAAGGAGTTGATGAAGAGCAAGCTGAGGAATAGTCTAAGAGTTTTTCGTTTCGAGATACGATGACACGTGAAATACTATCGTAAAAGAGGGAGAGGTGTGCCTGTTTCTGGGCCCTTTAATCTCATGCAAAAATCAGACAAATTTTAGACGAAAATTATGCACGTTTATCTGCATAAAAAGTTGAACTGTTTGCGTCAATTTTGCAATCTTGGAATAGTGTTACGTTCCCTCGCGCGGGAAACGATGAATTATATAGGCGACAAAAAATCCTACGAAATTCAATTTTTAACTCTCTAATTATTCCAGAAAGTGGAAATTGCACATCATAATCACGCACCTTTCCTACCAGTGTTCGAAACTCACCTGTGAGTTTTAGGAGCCATGTGGCGCATCAAGCCCGATTTTTAGGTGCCATTGAAGATTTTTTAGGGGCCAAATTGACTTTTTGCCTATATATTATGGCGCATTTAGTGAAAAGCTAGACGCAAGATATTTTCGTAACAGGACTAGTAAGGAACTGTAACTTAGGGAAGACAAAAGCACCAACAATGAGAATGAAATCGTGAAAATTTAGAAAAAGCAAGCTTTCACTAATAGTGCTGAGAATTCTGAGTTTTTTCAATTCAAATAGATTGGTTTTTCTTTCTTTATGTGACTCTCTGTGAAAATCCAGATTTTTAGAGGGCAATTTTCAGGGGCCACGTAGGCGCAGAGCTTTCATTTTTTAGGCGCCATGGCCGATTTTTTAGGCGCATTTGGCGCGTTGGCGCCTGTAAGTTTCGAACACTGCTTCCTACACTCTCAATACTTAACTATCCATGCGTTTTCTGTTTCCAGCTGTTCGGGGAGTCTTTCACGTTGATGGACGGACCAGTAGGGATAACTCTTTCTCCGAACAACGAGAAGCTGTACTTCCAGTCCTTTGCCTCGAACAAGATCTACTCGATCTCAACTTCGGTGCTCCGAGGGGGACCCAGAGGCCCCGGGTTCCCGGACGCGGATCTCCCCAGCGTGAAACTGGAGTTCGTCAAATCCTCCCAAGCAGCCCCCCTCGCGACGGACCCCCTCGACGGCTCCATCGTCGTCGCCCCCTGCAACGACACCGGCATCATCTCTTTCCCCGGGACCAACGACCCCAGGTAAGAACCCTACCCATAATTTCCATAATTCTTACCCAAGTAGCATTGTCATCTACTTTCTAGGTGGCGCTCATCAAGAAAATGTCTAATTTCTAGATAGAACAATTTTCTTGAAAGAAAATAGGTATAAAGTAGATCTAGAAAATAGACACAAGAAAATAAAAAGAA